ACAAATTTTATGACACGAATTTAATTATAAATCGACATAAACTTGAAAATGACCTGACACACGAACAAAAAATATAAAAGACTCATAATTTTATGATTCAACACGAATCTGACACGACACGATTCGATTGTTAACCCTAATTTTAGTCGTCACAAAAAAAATTAATCATTTTTATTTTCCATCCATCCAACCAAACACAAAGGAAAGAAAATGTATCATTCTTACTTTTCATCTTTAAAGAATAGAAAGTGTATCCCTCCTACTTTTCATTCTTTCTATCAAACGGAGCATAGGTCTTGGGCCGAAAGCTATGTAAGGTGGAGACTGCCCCGCGATGCTTCAGTCGTCCTCCCCTCAACTAATTCAGTGTTTAATTATTCAGCTACAGCTCTGGATGTGTTCCGGGGAAGAAATTATTGGTGCATGCGTTAAAATCTTTAACTGTCATCATCAACGTGGTATCTACGTGTCATGGACGTCTCCCAGCTAGCTGTCTGCTATTGGACTAATCTTCTTATGACTTCATCTATATATAGTAAGATTGTTACACAGCCATGATCATCTCTCCCCTCTCTCTCTCTCTGAGACGCACACACACACACACGCATATCTTCTAGACTGAGTCTTGAAATCTTGGGGGTGTTTGTGTAGCAAGAAAATGAAGGAAAACACAGGAAACCCTCTGCAATTGAAGTCATTGAATCACATATCGATTGTGTGTAGATCAGTTGAGAAATCTCTTGATTTCTACCAAAACGTTCTTGGGTTCTTCCCTATTAGGAGGCCTGGTTCTTTTGATTTCGATGGAGCTTGGTATTGTACTCACATCCTATGCTTAATTAAAAGATTCAGAAAAATAAAACCTTTTGCTTTATATGAAGAAAATATTTTCTTTGCTTCGTCTTTGTTGTTTTTCATATTCACGTATATACCGAAAATATATATATATGTAAGTGTATGTATGTGCGCATGTTTCAGGTTGTTCAGTTATGGGGTTGGAATACATCTTTTGCAATCTGAAGACCCTGCAAACATGCCCAAGATTAGCACCATTAATCCAAAAGACAATCACATTTCTTTCCAAGTACCCTCTCTCTCTCTCTCTCTCTCTCTCTCTCGACTTGATCGTCAGTTCAAAAAAAGAAGTACACGTTGATATGCGTACAAGTATGTTGTTGCAAGGCTTAAAATGACGGAATTGACCTTGGTTGGTTGCAGTGTGAGAGCATGGCAACTGTGGAAAATAAGCNTAATTTTCAATATTAAATGAAATTCACTTTCAAACCAATAATTGTATTGTATTATGTCCCTAAATTAGGTTTAAATAATAAAAAAAAAAGTTGTGGGGAGTAGGGTTGATAATCGAATCAAGTTATTCGAGCTCGATTCAGGTTCGGCTAGTTTTGGACTCGTTTAGGCTCGACTCATTTTTAAAACGAATTAAATTTGAACACTTTTTTAGACTCGTTTAGAAAACGAGTTGGACAGACTCGACTCATTTATATATAAATATTGGGTCTCGGCTAAGATTTGATTCATTTTGAGCTCGTTTAGCCTCTTGAACAATTTTTTAGGTTAATTTAAAAAAAACGAGCTCGACTCGAACTTATTCGATTATCAGTCCTAGTAGGGATACTTGATCCCCAATGTATAGCCAGGTCATATGACGTTGAAATTAATTATCAAACACTAAACCTAAATTTTATTGTAGCTGCCAAAGTACTTGCTTGACGACACTAATATGCTACATGATTGTTCTTATTTATTAACAAGATTACGTAGGGAGTTTTTGGAAAGCACATAACAACTAGGATTTTTTAAAGTATATATTCAATGAGGACCCATCAAGACACCAATAAATTGAAGGTGATGTATTATCAACTACGACTCTATTATACAATTTTATGCATATGGACTAATTGATAGGCAAATTAAAGAAGGTTAATCTATTGGGGTATGATAAGTTTTCTCATAAGTTGTTGATTGAGAAATTGAGTATTAGGTTTGACAAAGATGTATGCCAATAAATGTGCTAATATTAGCCATTAGAAACCGTAAGGCTACATTGATTGTAAAAATAGAGCGCAAATAATGTGATAGTTGATATGATATAAGCACAAAGTTAACTAGATTTACGAAATAATTTGATGGCAAGTGGAGTTTTGATTAGCTTAATTTTTAGAGTATGGACTTGGTTTTCTCTGAAGTTGTATTGATTGAGTTTATGTTTGGAGAAAGAGATATATATATATTAATTAAAATGAACTTAATCGATCACTATTATTAATTTTACTATAAGTTCTAATATGTATTGGGACTCGCCATCTAATCAATGGTTATGATTGATTAAGTCTATATTTTAAATTCATGTTTTAAATTCAAATAATATTTCCTACTCAAATAACGAGGCAACTGATTTTTAAATAAACAATAATGAGACTAAAAACATCATCATCATTGTTCTAGTAGTGAATGAAGGGAGTAATACACCAAAGCACAATATAAAACAAAGTGAATTGGAGCATAATTTTAAAGTTTCTAATAAATAATCCCATCCAAGTAATAACTTACTTGGCATATTTATAAGTCTAATGAATATATGTGTGTGTATTAGTGGATCATCTTGTGTGATGCATGAGATTATAATTCTTGTCTTTTTTTATTATTTAATTTATCTTCTTTTTTTCATTTTATCATTTGAGAAATTAGATAAATAATTATAAAAAAAAAAATTAGGGGATAAAAAAAAATATTTTTAAATAAATTTTAAAAAATAGGAATTGGTTACTAAAAGTGTTGAGAGGTGATTACAAATGATGCATGGTAGCGTTTCATGAAGGGGAGTCGTAGGTTTTGAATTAAAAAAATTTTAAATTCTAAAAATTAAAAAATGTGGAGAAAAAATTTCCAAGTCTTATTTCTTCTAATTTGTTTGTTTTATATATATATATATATATATATATATATATATATATATATATATATATATATATATATATATATATA